TGTTTCAGGTACATTGATAGCACTCTGTAGATACAGATATTTAAAAAGGATCCAGGCCCTGTTAAGTCAACTAGATTGACTTCAGTGTCTACCTGTGAAATGCATTTAATTTCTTTGCATTTCAGCCTAGCAAATAAAACTAGAGACATCCATAAACCTTAGAAGTGTCTTGCAAAGATTAGAGAGCCCTGTTCACACAAAGAAAGCTACTACCTGTGATTTTTTTTAGGACTGTCAAGCAGTGCCTCACTGATATGTACAAAATCGCAGAGTTCAGATACTGCTTTTGAGAACAGATGTAAGAGAGATCAGCAGATGTCCTTCACTGTAGTACATGTTTGAGTCATTTTACCAAACTCTATTTGAACCCATATTCTACAGTAATAAGAGAAACTATATTGTATTTGGCAGCCACTGAGCGTCATGGACTTTCACTATTCCCATAAAAGCTGATAAAAATTACTAGATAAATAAATAGAAATAGCTTTTTTAATTATTATTGTGAGAAAATATTTAACAAACAGGAAAGAGATGTCAACCCACACCGTAGTTGGGTACTGAAATCTGTTTATGTTTACCTGCTGTTTTTTGACACTGTTTTCTGATGCTGGTGGAGCTGAAGTCAAATGCATGCTTTCCCATAATAGGAGCAGGGTTTGCTGACTGTCTCAGACTATTGGACCTGTGAAATGGCGACTATTTAAGGAGTGCAGGAACCCCTAAAGCTGCAAGTAGTCATTTCTCAGATTTTGCAATACCCGGTCATACAGTCTAATATAGTTAGAAGTCACTAGCCTTTTTTTATTAGGAAGTGTTCAGTAGCCCTTTATTTTAAAGGAAAGTGGGAGGACACTTGCCACATAATAAAGCATCATCTCTTGCAGAATTAGGGACCTGTTTTTCAATAACATGAATTCCCAGACCATTGCCAAACATTAAACACTTTCCAAGATCAGACAGAACCGTCTGATAGATCCTGTAATATAATCATCCTCTTAACCCTTAGGTAATATTTCTAGAGTTGCATTTGTCTTACAGAGGTATAGATGTTCTTTACCATTTTTTAAAACATTGGCCCTGAAAATTTTCAGGGAGAAGTACCTTGTTTAAGTGTAATGAGCTCTTTCTTTCATAAATTGGAGATCGTCATACAACTCATGGAAAAGAAATGACCTTGTTAGAAGAAAAGCAAAAATGTCTTCCTTATGCTTGCTGCTGTTAAGAGGACTGTGAAGAATTACATGGACTTCAATGCTGAGATGGGATCTCAATTAGAGCTACATTCTCTCTAGCTGTGGGAAGGATGTTATCCTATATTTCTGCAGAAATATAACCTATTATTAATTAAATCTGAACCAATTTCTTTGATATCACCATTGTGTGATGATGTATTGTCATTCCAACAGTTATTCAACAGTTACTTGAACAGTGATCACATATGGTGTCTGTACTGAGCACTGTCATATCAAATACTGTTGAATGTTGTAGTGCATTAAATATATTTGTAGCACTTTTGAGCAATAGTATTTAACTGTTTAGAGGTCAGAAGATAAAGACATTGGCAAAGAAGATGCCGGGTTAATCTCTAATAGACCTGTATCAATGAGAAAAAGAGGTATGTGAAAAGAAACCAAAGATCATTTTTTCTTAGCAGGTTTCTTTGTGTGTGTGTTCTTTCTGAGATAAAATGTTTTAAGCCTGTTAGCACAGGTGGAATGAGGAATCAGTGATGTCTTAGATAGGAGAATGGGCAAAATCTTATGTGCTGCTATGGCATATAGGAGAACCCACAAATGTTTTGGTAAATTCTCTAAGAAAATATTAAACTGTCTCATGATTAATCTTTCTATAATTCTCATACAAGCATGGCACAGAGTTGTGCCTCAAATACTTTTCCAAAAAAAGCCATGATAAAATAAATTGTTTTCATTTTACATCGCTATAATAAATGGACAATTCTGCAGAAATTGTAACATGAATTTGTGAATTTTTCTGCTACTAATCTGATCAGGAAAACACATAATGGACAGATGACATTCAATTTCCATTGCTTCCTTATCCTAAGTGCAGTAGATGCCAAGATTTAAGAGCAAACTTACCTTCACTGAAGATGTGTCTTTAAAGAGATATGATCCAATATATTAAAAACATGTATTTTTCACTTTCGGTATAAGAATATAAAAGGTTAAGAAATTCAACCTTGGACCAGCTTTTTCAGTGTGACCTTAAATGAAAAAGTTGAATAAAATGTCTGATACATGTTTCTGCAAAAGAAAAATGATGCTTTAAAATAATTAGTCATGCGGTGTCTGATATCCAAATTACATAGCACTGATTTTGTAAATGCAAAATTCACTGTTATCAATGTGAAAACAATTTCATTTGCTTCCTCCTAGTAGAGAAAGAATGTCATCAAAAATTCATGTAAACACACCACAAATTAATTTTTCACCACTTAATGAAATAGTTAACTCTATTTTAAGTTGTTTTTACTAATCCAGGAGATAATCCAAACTTGACAAGCACTTAGTGCTACTGAAATTTCAAGCATTATTTACATTTCATTTTTAAAAATGTGGAGAAATTTCTGCCTTAAAGCTGTTTTTATTCTAGTCTTGAACATTTCTTCCAGGGTGTAACTTGACTGGCAAGTTAAGCTCAAATACAATTACATTACTAATCATGTGGAAAAAAACAATTTAAAAGATTTGTTTCACGGTATTGTAACCCGCTATGTACTGTGAGAGCGAATTAAATTGTTTCAGATATATTTTTCACTTCTAGTTTATTTCCTTAACAGATAGGCAAAAAGTAATTTGTTATTCTTTTTCTTTATAACATAATTGTCTTATACAAATTAAATTATGTGTTACAAATTAGCATTTAGATTTTATACACTTACGCAGCTTCAGCCAGTTTCATTTCAAGTAAGTGGCAGTGTTCCTTGTAAATTCAGTGCTTTTCTTCAGGAGTACTTTCATCTCAAGCTTAGTCTTCTATCTATTTATCTATCTATCTATCTATCTATCTATCTATCTATCTATCTATCTACCTATATTCTATCAAAAATCTGTAGGATTTTTGAGACCATTCTCAGTGTCTGTTGGCCTTAAAGATAGTGGCACTCTTCAGCCCTTTTCAGGCATAATCTGAAATGCATGATAATACATAATATTCTTGTATCTTTCACTATTACAATCAAGAAACAAACTCCATAGAATTACAGAATGGCTTGGTTTGGAAGGCACCTTAAAGACTACCCAGTACCATCCCCCTGCCATGGGCAGGGCTGAGCCCCACCATCTCAGGCTGCCCAGGACCCCATACAACCTGGCTTTTAGTGTCTCTGGGTATGGGGCACCCACAGCTTCTCTGGGCTGTGCCAGTGCCTCCACTGTCATCTCCAAAATTTCCTGTGTCCAAATATTTTTGCTTTTGTTAATTTCACTGCAAGAATATGTTTTCCTCCCATAGAGGTCCCTCAAAGTTTAACCAAGCAACACATATCAATTTATTTCTGAAGGAGTATGTGTATTTGTCAAAATACATATATGCATTATGTCAAAAAATTGTGCCTTAATTCTTTTGTTGACATTTTAGAGCACAGATTTTGCACTTCTTCTTTCCTTTTCTTTCCACTCCATTAAAAGTTTTTTCCCTGATGATTGTCATCAGTAGATGCATAAAACATATCTTTTTTTTCTCACTATTTCTCAGAGAAAGGCAGTCTAATTTCAGAGGTGACAGATAGTTCCTTTATCAGAACAGAGATCTCTTTTCTGTGGTTCATTGTGTACAAGTTAATATTGACAGCTGGTGAAATGTTTTTGACACAAAGGGTTCAGTTATTCTTTCCCTCATTATGGAGCAGAAGAGACCTGTTCTGTTTTCAGTGTTTGCACATAATTGCTTGTCTTCCACCAACCTTCAGGGTTAATTCACTAACTCAGAAGGCATGTTCTGCCAGTTAAAATTTATATGTGTCAAAAAGAGAGTTTCACTGCACAGGGAAATGTAACGCAGAACTGTTGCAACATAATTTGTTTTCTCTGTGATGCACCAACCATGAATCTTGGTATGGAGGAAATGACTTACATGTCAGCTTCTGGGGAAGGAGCTATGATCAGATAGGGATGACTGTGAGACAGCTGGATTTGGCATTACGTCCTTTTTTAGTTAGTACTTAACAACTGGAGTTCCTTAATGCATTGCTTTGTCACAGTACATTGCTGAAAGTTAACTTGGTGAAAAAAGTTCTGGGTCCCCATTAAATGCAAGTGTTAATTTCATTAAAGGTGCAACCAAAACTCAGGCCTGCAAATTAGATCTATGTGTTTTTAATACAAGTATGTCTGTGTTTTGCTACTATTATATGAGGGATGAGATGTAGGAATCACAAATCATCACCAGGATACAGCATTTACCTAGCAGCATTCGCTGCCCTTAAAATCAGCCACTGTCTCCTTTGCCTTCATGGTAGAGCACTGTGTGCTATCTTGTTTCCCCTTAACTGTTGCTGCCAGCTTAGCATACATGGCCATTTGCAGGGAGTTAGAGATCAAGCTTTCACTTCCTCGTGCAATCCCTTCCTGCAAAACACCAGTGTAATGCTATTCCTTCTCTAGGTTTTATTGAACAGTTCCTTGGTCAGCTTCAAGTGTCTTACCACATTTAGTTTTTTATTCCTCACTCTTTCATAGCGGTTGGTACACTGGGAGTTTGCCTCCCTGTGTATTTTGTATGAAATGAACACCATCATTGGCAGCACAGCTGCTGTGTGCCAGCCTTGAAACTGTGGTAGCTCCTAAACAAGCAGCTGGCAAGAACAAAAGACTCCTGCAGCGCTGCACTGTGAATTGACTGTGATTTACCTGCTTTAATTCAAAAAAACCTACCACAACAGAGTGCAGATAATCAGACACCTGTGCTGTTGTACTGCCTTTCCACTTTATGCATGCTCCATCTGACACTTCTTTCTGTTCTTTCTCCCATTCATGCAGTCACCTACTTCTGGCGACAAGGATGACCAAACACTGACGGTAGGCAGCAATTAGTAGTTGCATGAGCATTTATTTCTCAAGAGAGTGGTAAGGCAAACATTTCTTTATTTTGGCACACATCAGCATTTGTGTGTATCATTGGGCTTTCTTTCTCCCCTCCTATGCAAATGTAAAATTTAAATATTTAATTTCCTGTTATAAAACTGAATTCCCGTGTTCATTTTCTATCATTTTGCATTTAGAATTTGTAGGATACCAAAGATTAATGCACATATTCTGCTTTTATTACAAAACAAACACTGCCTTATTTTAGTCAAGTTTGAGTTTTTTTCTTCCTGTAATTGGGTTCCTGGACTTTCTAATCCAGCAGTCCATTGGTTCTGATTATTGTCTTTATCTGAACGAGAAAACTGCTCTCCACAAAGCAGTCTTAGTCAACATGGTATGCTAAATGCATCATTTTTGGTATAAGACAATGGCTTGGGGAAAAGAACCTTGGGGAAAAGAACCTATATGTTTATAAGTTCCTTAAAATTATGCAAAAGATGCTTGAATATAGGCTGTGTGGTGCATTCACTGCCTTACCACTCTAACAATCTGTTTATGTAATCATTATTTACTGAACTGAACCAAAGTGAGGCATACTTTTGACTGAACTTCAGGATGTTACACTCAAAAAAATGGTATCAAGACTGCGTATTTGCAATGCACTAGAGGCATTTAAAATTAAAATTTACTTTTGAGACTTGACCACAAGGTTCTGCAGAGAAGTAAATTATTAATTCCTGTGGATGACATTGTAAGGCGATGATTTTCTTAATGTTTGAAGAATTTTCACAGGGAAGGATTTTTTTTCACCTCTCTTTTCCTAAGCCTTGTGAGATTAACAATTTATTTGATGAACTGTCTCCTCCAGATAAATTGGCTATATATATGACAATGTTTAATAGAGTGTGTGGTCTAATATAATATGCTGCACATAATGTTGGAAAATGTTTCACTATATGGCAAGATGTGAGTTTAATTCATAGTGTTTCAGGCCAACTTCTATATGAAACATAACTTCAAACAGAACATAACTTCTGTCCCTTATTTCTCAACTTAGACCAAGCCACGGCTCCAGCGGGGAGGAAGCTCTGCATCTCTCCACAACAGTCTGATGAGGAACAGCATCTTCCAGCTCATGATTCACACACTTGACCCACTTGCAGAAGGTATGCCTATTAATTTTCTTTTTTTTCTCCTTGTTAAGCTATTTTCCACTTTTTTCTTTTTCTTTTTTTTTTTTTTTTTGCTTTTCACCCATATTTTCTGAATGTGTGTAAATTTTCTGTTTTGTATTTGAATGCTTACTTCCACCAAAACTTGCAACTTAGGAAATTTGTTCATTGCAGTGGTAACTAAAACTGATCTCTTGATTGATACCTATCATGATTACTGCTTTCTTACACCTCTGTTTTCAGCAGCAACTTGAAAGTCACAAAACTTCAATCATCTTGTACTTCTGTAGAGTTTTTTGTTTGCTTTTGTTTTTTTCCCACTCTTGATCTTATTATATCAGGTTAAAATTAAATAAAAATAATAAAAAAGAGAAAAAGGCCAAACCAATGAGTAATATGTCCTGGAATTATAGAAAGGGATGAGTCTCTACTGGTCTGACTTTGGGTACATTAACAGTGAAATTAAAGAAAATGAGCCAAACATCCCTCAATGTAACACGCATGTTATCAATTTGCTTGCTTTGTCCAAGTTTGGTGTAATTTTTGATCTGTGAGAAGCTAGCAGGGAAACCATGATTGCTTTGGTATCAGAAGGTGTCAGGAAAACTATAATTGCTTTGCAGTTTTGGGGTGATTTGAATCTGCACTTTTGGTAGACTTCCAAACAAATTCAAGGCCAGACATACATTAGATGTATATGTATATATGTGTCTATAACACTTCTTGCTGGAGTAACAACTGTCTTGAGAAATAGCAATTGCAAAAATTGTATGAGGTACTAAATAGGCATGTTACTGACAGTTATAAATTCCGAATGCTGCCAATCATGAAGTACATACAGCATTTTCTTTCATTTAGGTTCCATTTATGTTTCTCATTTCAACATTACATACAGCTTTTTAAGCTGCTTTTCATGTCAGGACAAGGCAAATATACTTTTCCATTTCCCTCTCCAACAGATGAAGCTGATGTTCATATTGTCAATACAAGGGCAATTTTAGCTCGTGCATTCTCTACACCATTATTTTCACTCTGATTATGATCCATTGCCACAAGAAAATGTTTTTGCTTTGGTTTGTGCTGTTTGCTGCCAAAGCCTGTTGCGTGTTAGGGCGGAGCCATCAACAGACTATGCTCTGTTCTCATAAATGCTGAAAAAGGACTATGTAATTTATTGTAGATAAACATTTAGCTTCCTTTATTTCCATCACTGTAGCAGGTGAGTTGGTTTTCTTACTGCTGCAAACTTTCCTTTCAAATCTCTTCTTTACCCATCTGTTAGTCGAGCTTTGTCTTCTGCTATGAGAACAGACATCCACTCAGAACATGCAAAAGAAAAAAAATTCTGACAGTCCCTCTCACTCCTCTTTTCCCTGAAAGCAATGCTTCTGGGTTGAAGATATGCCAGATATGTTAAGTAGCACTAAGTGGTGACAAAAACGATGAACAGAAATCATCAAATCATTTCCAACAGATAGAATAGAAGTGGGCTGGGAAGAACCTTTTAGCAGAGACAGATTGAGGACCTAGGCTGAAAACTGGAAATGCTTACTGGAGTTCAATTTGGACTTAACAAAGGTTCCACGTTTAAAATCAGTTCTCACCTAATATGTATTTCTCCACTGTTTAAGGTTGTTCCCCTAAACATAGGTTGTTTAGCATTCAGATTTTATTCCAGTGCTTTTCCCCTCTAGCAGCACTGTACCACGCAGTGTACAGTCTTCCCTGTTTGGGACAGCACAGGAAAAAAGGTTTTCAAGACGTGAAATCTGTCCTGAGTTTTTTGAAAACCAATTACTGTAATTAAGTATATCAAGTAACTCTGTGCAACTACTCATTGTGTCAGTAAAACTTTTGAGATCAATATGGATTGATAGAAATGACTGCAAAGGATAAATTTGACTTACAGAAAAAATATAGTCGTGGTTTGCTTGCTCACAATAGCTTTTTTTTTTTTTTTTTAACGTGTGTCCAAACTCTGAAATTTGTCTTAGAGCTCACGTTCTTCAAAAATCAGAATGTAAAGTTGGTGGTCCTTATATGAGTACTGGGCACTGATATGAAACCTGTATCTTTCACTAAAACTGACATGATGAGTTTGAATTTACAAAATAAAACAAAATAATAAAAACATTTGCAGTAATCATGGTGTTGTTATGTACAATTATCAGAAAATGTCCAAGAAGTATGGAAACATGGAAAATGCGGTGCAGACATTGGATGTGGTATTGACATCAAAGGAACTAAACTTTCAAATATTCACCCAGTACACAAAATTAAATTTGAGTTAATGAAAGCCCAGTGTGCAATTCAGTAAACACTTTTGCATTTGCAGCTTTGGTTTTATTTTTTTTACCTTTTGGTTTTATTTTTTTTATGTCCAGATATATTAACTGTTGTATTAACATATTAACTGTTGTATTGATATATTAACTGTTTTATGTCCAGATGTATTAACTGTTGTATTCTGCCAGACCTTATGTTCATTAACGCTTTCTGAGGCACCACTTCTTTTGTGGGGAGGCCTGGCTTTCAAAATGTTTAGTTTTGCAGGTGGTTTGGAAGACACCAGTCAGGTTTCAGCTCACCTCTATGCTCATTAAGATCATGGTGGAGATCCTCCAAGAAACTGTGTCAAGGTGATATAAGTCAGGGAATGATTATGGACAGCCAATAGGTCTTCATGAAGAGCAAATCATGCCTGACCAACTGGCTGGTGTTCTACAGCAGAGTGACAGTACTCGTGGTCAAGTAAAGAGTAACTGATGTTATCTACTTTGACTCATCCAAAGCTTTTAATATGGTTCCACACAGCATTCTTATCTCTGAACAGGAGAGACTTTGAATTTGATGGATGAACTATTCAGTGGATAAGGAATTGGCTGTGTCTGAAGAGTTGCTGTCAATGATTCAATGTGCAGGTGACAAGTGATGTCTTCAAGGGTCAATCTTGGGCCTGGTGCTCTCTAATATTTTCATTACTGGTATAGACAGAGGGATTGAGTACACACTCAGCAAGCTTGCAGATGACACCAAGGCTGGTGCTGTTGATACAATAGAAGGAAGGGATGTGATATAGAGCGGCCTTGACAGGCTTCGTAGGTGGGCCTATGCAAAATTCATGACATTCAACAAGATCAAGTGAAAGGTTCTGTTCCTGGGTCTGGGCAGTCCCAAATGTCAGTACTGACTGCATGATGAAAGAATTGAGGGAGACCACTGTATAAGGCCTTGACTAAATTGGTGGATGAAATACCTGTTTTGGATCTGAAACAAAGAGAAGTATATGAAAATGTTTTGAAATGCCATTCTCAGAGGAAGAAAGTATGAAAGTTCTAAATGAAAGCACATATGTGAGCACACCAGCAATCACAGCATTTGGGCATTCTCCTATCATCCTTCCTGTCTCATTTCTTCTGTCATTCATTATTACTCTCTTCTTCTTCCTTGCTTTCTCTTTCTCCATTTTGCTACCATTTGCGTCCTTTCTTTTTTCTCTTATTTTCCTCATACTATTTTCTCTCATCTGCACCTGCTTCCTTTCACTCTTTTCCATTAGGATGGCTTCCTCAGTAATTGCGTTCCTTCTGTCCTGCTGTTTGCTTTAATAGAAGCACTTTCCAAGTGGACACTGGCAGCACTTCAGCAGGTCCAGCCAAACAAACCAGATATTTAGTCTCCAGAAAAGCTTTTGTGAAGTCTGTCACCAACATGTTTCACCCTTCACAACCTCTAGGTCTAATGTTGCCATCAGAGCTAAAACTTCTTGTCACCATGCTGCTGGAATATCCAGCTTTCCTTTCAGTCATTAATAAAATTAATTGTTACTTTCTCTTTAATAACTACAAGGAGAAAATGCTTTGTCATTTTGGCTTCTATGGGCTTGGTAAGGCTGACAGAGCAGAAGTACCTTCTAAGCCCTCTTAGTGGTAGCGTGTTATAGGATGTATAAACAGATGACATGATTATTTAAGGTCAGCTTGGCCTACACAGTGTTATTTTTACATTATCATGTGATGTAATATAGAAAACCAATTCATGCTCTTTACTTCTGAGTAATTCATTTGTATATTCACAACCAAATTCTGCTTTAGCAGAGAGCCTCTGGAAAATGGTTGTAAGCTGGAGAATATTAAAAGATAGATAAATGAGTTTAAGAAGTTTTTACTTTCTATAAGATACAGATGAACAGTGATCAGGATATAAAATTCTACACTTGTGGACTAGTTTTTCACCCTGTTTCCATCAGGTGTGCTTTTACCATGACTTGTGCATGTCTTGTTGAAGCCAATATTAAAACTTGGAGAGCAGAGAATTGCAAATTATTCAGCCCACCTCTAACAGATGAATAAGATCTGAGATCAGTGGGAGTCACTGGATATTTGGAACATTGCATTCAGGCAGATGTGCAGACATGCTGCAGATATAACAACCTAAGACAAGAGAGGCTTCTCCTTGGTCTCAGTTTAAAGCTTCTAAGAAGATAAGAGATCAGGTTCTTTAACAGGTGCATGGGTAGGTTATTCGTTAGCTATATATCAGCTTTAAACCTCATTGTTCATTACAAATATAAATATCCATGTGACATTCATTTCTGTTTGCTTTTGTCTTGTTAAAGGTATAATGACCTTGGTAGAGATCATTTCCTGGAGATTAAGATTAATGATTGCCTTTGCATCAGGCTATCATCTACTCCCAGCCAGTCAATAATCCCCAGGAAATCCTGTGCCAAATTTGTTTCTGCTTAAGTGCTGCTCTGGCAGTCGTTTATTCACCCAGTAGCAACCTGGACTGTTCATAACAGCATTACTCATTTGAATAAGGACTGCATCATCAGATCAGCTGTTCTGATCAAACCCCAATCCAAAACCCAAGCAACTCAAACATAAACTGTAACATTCCTTTATCATTTGTGGAGGTACCTCTGTCTGAGTCTTGGTATTGAGATGGGTTATGATTGGTTTCTTGGGTTATGTACGGGTAGGATTTACTAA